GGTTACGGGCCCAGACAGTCCCCCTCAGAGTGATTTGGTGGTTGAGTTTTTTCTTTTTTTAGCTTAACCGATGCATGTAGCTACTCGAAATATTAAGAAAAATAGAAAAGAAAACAAAGAGCAAGGTCAGCCTATCGGATATTAAGCCAGAAAGGATGAGAAGTCCTGACCTTCAAGAACACCGCGTCTCCGCTCGGAACAGTTTCGAACATGTTTCCGTGGACGTGTTTAACACCTGCAAAGAAACCATGGCATGCCATCAACTTAAGCCCAAATATATAACGATACAATAATAATTCTTCTTTTTCTTTATAGGCAGGTTGCTGTTTACGATGGAAGAAAGCGATACAATAATAATTCTTCTTTTTCTTTACAGGCAGGTTGCTGTTTATGATGGAAGAAAGCGATACAATAATAATTCTTCTTTTTCTTTACAGGCAGGTTGCGGTTTATGATGGAAGAAAGCGGAGACCTGTCAGTGGCCTGGCACCGGAGATGACATGGGGCAGGTCGTAGTTGATGCCCTTGATGTGTGTGTGCCTGGAGGTAATCATCTGGAGGGTGGCACCGTCGTTGCCACCGACATCTACGAGCATCTCCACATCATCGAAACCACCGTAGACGCGGAGAAGATTGTTGATGATGACGCTGGAGTGGCCCCTCATGCCAGCGTTGAACACCTTGTTCAAACGTGGATCTGTTCCTATGTAATCGAACATCGGCATCCCGTAGGCGGAGTTCAGAGGGACGACTCCCTCCAACACGGAATCCTTTAGATAGTACCTGCCATCAATCCTTCTCAGTATTTTTGCTCGGCAAATGAAAGAAGAAAATATATCAAGAATTAATGGTCTCAACTCTATGCTTCGCCTTCTAAATTACCATGCATCCACGAAGACCTTATCCTGATGCACCAATGCCATATCAGCCAGTGACACACCGTCTTCGTTCTTTGTCAGGTACTTGCAGATGGGAGCCGCGCCGTACCTCCTCAAAGGGTGGCCATCCGTCCCTGTGTGGACGGTGCTGCAGCTGACCACTCTGTTAGCCGCGAGCAAGCGGAGTATTCGGTCTACCGTGGTGGCCGCCTGCGGGTTCTTGGTCGGCATCCGGGCGGCGATCTCAACCGGGCTCAACGAGGCGTCCGGGCCGGCCTCCACGATGATGTCGAGGAGCCGGAGCTCGATCGCGGCTTTAAGGGTGAAGGGAAGGACGCAGCTGCTCACCAACTGCAAGGCGCGCGCGCCTGCCTCCTCCTCCTCCTCGAGCGTCAGCTGCTGAATGTTATCGGTGGATGCCATACTACTAGTTAGCTAAGGTTGCAGAGGAAATGATGATGGAGTATGAGACGAGGAGGAAGGCTACTTAGCTTGGAGTGTTGGAGAGGGGGATGTTTTCGTTGGGATTTATAGAGTGAGATTCCTCTCTAATTGTAGCGTTAGTTTCATCCAAGTCACATAGCGTTAGTTTCAAGTGGAGACACCCGTGCGCAACGATTTTGTTGTTCTTCCTTTCCAAGTCACATAGCTAGATTATATATATTTTCTACCCATCCTCCGTTCCCATTGTATAATATTATCAGTAAATTTTGGTATTATTTTCTATAGAAGTTTAATTATTCTCGGTCCTCTTTACTAGTGATAATTTTTTACTATTAACAATCACTTAAAAAATAATAAAATATAATTTTAAAAATTTTTAAAATATGATTGTAAATGGTAGTAAATGGTTATAAATAGGAATTTTCTTTCCAATATTATACTAGATATAGAATTATATAATACATAAAAGTAGGTCTCATTGAACTCTTATGCTGCCGTCACAGAGTTAATCAATATTGGATTGAGAAGTATGCTTTGCAATTTTTGAAAGACAAGTTATTTTGTGGATAAAGAATTTATGTTAGAAAAATATTTTTATTAAAAGAACATGAGACACCAAACGTCTCTTTCTTGCCTTTGGTTTTTTTCAGTTGAGCAGCTATTGCATGATATAATCATTTTTCTTCTCAAATTAAATTATATTTATCAAAATGAATGCAATGTTCACTCGTAGAACAAGTGATTGAAAAGGAAAAATGGCAGCAGTGGGACTTTTCAATCCTTTTTCGATTGTTTGACACAACGTTTGCGCCATAACCAAAAGAAATTGAAGAGGAATTCTGCAGAAACAGAAATAGCATCTTCTTGATTGAATCTAGACATGTAACCTTTAATTGGAACAATTAAGAGTTCTTGTTGAGACCACTCTTAAAGAATATGGTGATGGACGGCTTCGTAGAAATGATACCAAAAGACAGAAGAAAGCAGTGACTGTGGAAGTTTTTTCTCATGTTTCAGCAGAACATATATTCCTTTAATAAAATATATAAATATATGGAGTCATGTCACGTCACTTTCATACTGACCTGTATATGTTTCACCGCAGATGGTGGTGGAGCCAAATATGAAAGCTTTGTAATGTGGATAATAAATTATTCTTTATTAAAATAAAAAACAAACCATGTTTATCCACATTGATTGTGGTGGGTCCCGAGAATCCCTTGACCACGCCTGAGGCTTTCACAGGAAAACAATTGGCTTACCTGTACTTCTGATAAGCCCGTCTATAATTTGATAGAAGACAAAGTTACACTTAAATGGCTAATTAGCATGCGTAATAATAATTGGCGTGACGTAATTGTCTCATAAGCGATATATGAAACCGGATCTGTAGATTATTATTAGGTGTTTCACAGTTAATAGAAATAAATTTAGTTAAAAGAGATAATTCAAATATTTCTCATGATAAAAATAATCGTGAACTTCTATGATTTAAAGAGAGAAGAGAGAGGTTATAACAGGATAAAATGATCATGAAGATTGAGGTTCTATAGGTTATAAAATTAAAAATTAGTAGTAAATTTGATAGATTAAATATTATAAAGTTTATGAATGTAGCTATCAAAATTGATTCATGTAACTCGTATCTATGGTTCTATCAATATTTAAGATTTTTTATAATCAATTGTCGATAGATTAAGCCAAAAAAAAAAACATCTTGTTTACAAGAAAACAAAATATTTACCTCCATAATTAAATTCCCTTAAGTCTTTTTCTCTATCCTTTCTCTCTTTTCTTATTTTTATCAAAATGATGTGAAAGATGTTAGGAAGAGAGAGAAGAATTTCTAGCTCACGTTACTACGAAGAATTGCTAGCTTGCATGTTTCAAAAACTTGATAGTTGTATTTTTCTCCCGATGACAAAGGGGGAGAAATTATGATGATGGTTTAAAATTTGAATCATGCATGATATGATGTACTTTTATATTTTAAAATTATATATGATGATTTGAAATTATGTATGTAATACTTCAACTTATGATGTAAGTAATGATTATATTAATATGATGTATTGCATATGATTCATAATTGAAATTATGACATATAGATAAGGGGAGTTTAGTGAAACTCGATTTTTGATGATGAAACCAATTGATGAAGTTATGATCTAATCAATGTTTGAGTAATGCATAACTATCTTCGATCATGCAAAGGTAAATTGATTGAAGCAGGAAGAATAAGAAGTTGGGCCAAAGTAAAACGTGTTAGAAGATTGGACGTCGGATCGGAGGACTGGTCGACGTGCCGATGAAGGACTTCATGCCATAAGTTTGGACATCGGGCTAGAAGGATCGGATATTGCAACTAATTTAGGGCCAATTTAGCCTAAATTAGGACTAATTTAGGCTCATTGGAAGGCTTATTCAATGATCCAAAAGTTGGGTCAGGTGGTGGCACTGGCAAATTGGCAGTGGAACCACTTATGAGTTGGAAAAGTCAAGGATACACTTTTCCAAGCTGTCAAGCAGTGGTATCACCCAGACTAAGTGGTGGTACCTATTGAATCTCGGATTTGGATGATAAAACCAATTGATAGTATTTATTTGATATGCGTTTTGAGTGATGTAGGAAGCTTTGATCAGGGAAAGACAATTAAAGCAGGAAGAATCATGTTGGGCTGTAGTGGAACATGTCAGAAGATTGGATGTCGAGCCGAAGGATTGGTCGACGTATCGACAGAAGGCCTCAGGCCATTGGATTGGGCATCGGGTCAAGGAGAGTGAAAATTATGCTAAGGAAATCGAAGTTGTGGAGGACAATTGGCCGATTGGACAATAGGCCGCAAGAGAGGATGATGTGCCGAAGAATCGGACGAGGCATTGATGAACCAATGATATGCCAGACAATATTTGATTTAGCTTTATAATAATTATCTAGATCGAAGTAGGTTTTAGGCGTAATTAGGTTGGAATTAGGCCAACTCAATTAGGGTCCAATTAGGCCCAAGTTTAGGCTATGTTGGGCTGAGTGAAAAGCTCAAATAGTGACCCAACAGGTGGAACCATTATGGCACAATCTCTGAGACTATGTTAGGTGGTGGTACCACACAAACACAATCTCCGAGAGATTGTCCGGCGGTGGTACCGCCAAACTAGGCAGTGGTATCGCCCAACACAGGCGGTGGTACCACCAGTACCTCAAAATCTAAGGATGAGATACTTTTAGGCTCCAAGTTTGAATCTACTTGAGGTCTATAAATACCTCTCTCATCCCTGGTTAACATACATAAGAATTGAGAGCAAAAAAGGAAGAAAACATTGTTATAATCTTGTGTGAACTCCTCTCAAACTCTAAGTATTAGTAAAGTCTAAAAGAGGAGGTTGTACGGGCGTAAAGGTTCTCTCCTGAGCTTGTCAAAAGAAGAATAGAGTTGTAAGAAGGTGGTTGGTCTTCGCCTATTGAAGAAAGACCATTAGTGGATGCCGGTGGCCTCAATAGAAGAGGAATCGGGAGTGGATGTAGGTCATGACGTCCGAACTACTATAAAATTCTAGTTTGCACTTACTTCTTGCTATTTACGTTTATTGCAAACTGAATCCTTACTTACACTACGCTTCTCTACTCATTCAAGAAAAACAAAACGATTTTCGTCAGAATCATATTTTTATCGTACGAAGATTTTCAAACTGATATAATTTTTCTACTGCACTAATTTACCCCCCCCTCTTAGTGTCGACTCGATCCTAACAATTGGTATCAGAGCCACGTTTTTTCTCGTTTGGTTTAACACCCAAGAGAAATGACTCTTTTCAACTTTCAAGAGGGCTTTTATATTGTTCTTCCTCCCATGTTCAATGGGACGGACTTCATATTGGAAAACTCGAATGAGAGTTTTCTTTCTTTCATTAAATCTTGATTTATGGAATATTATCAAAAATATATTTAAAATGTCTTCTCTTCCAATGAACGATTAGAATGATTTAGAGAAGAAGACATTCTCTTTGAACGCCTAAGCTATGAGTGCTTTATTTTATGCTTTGGATAAAACTGAGTTCAATCGAGTTTCTATTTGCGAAATGACTTTTGACATTTGACATATACTTGAAATCACACATGAAGACATTAGTAAAGTTAAAGATTCAAAAATCAATTTTTTGATGTATGATTTTGAATTGTTTCGGATGTAACTAAGTGAGACTATTGGAGACATGTACACCCGGTTTACAAATGCTGTCAACGGTCTAAAATCGCTTAGTAAAAGTTTTTCTAACTTTGAACTCGTTAAAAAAATATTGAGATCCTTTCCAAAGAGTTGAGACCCTAAAATCAAAATAATACAAGAATCAAAGAACTTGAACCATTTTCCCATTGAAGAATTGATTGGGTCGTTGATGACCTACGAAATGAGTTATATGGCTCATGAAGTACTTGAGAACAACCTTCCAAAGAATATGAAGGATTTAACACTTAGAACTCAAGAAGACCACTTGAGCGAAAGCTCAAGTTATGATGACATAGAACTCATCACAAGTAAATTTATAAAATTTATAAAACATGAAACTAAGAATAAAAATAAACTTAAAATGAAAAAATTATCAAAGAACAAGAAAACACTCAAGGTGACTTGGGATGAAATGAGTGCATCCGAAGATAAGGAGCAAACTGATGATAACGAAGTGGCGAACTTCGCTTTGGTGACCTTTGACAATAAGGTAAGCGACTCAATCGAATCTTTTTTTCCTTACCATGAAATTACTTAGTGCTTTTCATGATTAGTTTTGAATATA